ATTTCGTTGATCAGCGGGAAATTCAGGAACGAGAGTAGCCCATGTCGCATATAGCGGACGACACGAAATTGAGGACGGGACGCTGCGTTGTGTCCGGCCAATTAAGGTGAAAGGGTTGTGTCCGGTGACCTCTGACCGAATTTCATATCGCAGCTGCGCGAAATTGCCTCGAAAATCTCTCGCAAGGTTTCGGGACGTTTTAGCTTTTTTTATAAATTGATCGTACAAAAAAAAAACCAAAACAAAAAGCACAATGGAACGCACCGTATAATGAAAATATTTTTGACAGCAATGTTAAAATAATATATTCGAAGCGCTCCGCGCTTGAGGTAACAGCGGGAACGGCGTGAGAATATTGGCTGATATTTATCTACAATTTGCAGTTTAAATAAAAGGGCTTGAGCACATAATATTTTGTATTAAATTTTGCATTTAATGTTTTTCTTTCTTTAATCCTAAACTTAACAATGTATCCCGTAAAGCACCTGAGTCTTTTTATGAGTTTTATTACATTTCCTTTTTATATATTTTATTACTATAACATTTTTTTTTAAGTTTACAACTCCACAAAGTTCGTTCTATTTACAGGATTTATAAAGGAATTCTGTCGTCAGTTTAAAATTATTCTTTAATATCCATCGAGTTCGGCACGTTGCATGAAAAGAAGAATAACGCTGTCGTTCAAAGCTGCAGGTGACACCTGTAAGGATCTATGATCCATTCACGTGCGCTCAGTCGATAAAAGTGCAACGATCGATTCTACCGGGCGTGAGCCAAAATGTGTGACGCTGGCGTGCGGCGCGAGTTGATTCGAAATTCATAATTAATCATAGAACACGCACATTTACACAAATTGACAAAGCGCGTCACGGTACTAAAATCGCGACGTTTACTTTGACAAGCGACGATGCGCATGCATTATTCATACACAGCGAAGTTTCACGCAACGCTGGAAATGCAATAACACCTTCGCCTACGTAGTGACACTAACGTTTAATTAATGCGTCTTGTATAATTACAGACGGTTTGAAGCGATTTCACGGGCGAAAGTGCAGAAGCGACAATGTATATCGATTTTCTTTCGTCTTGTTGATGTGTTATTGTGAAATTGCGATTGTAGATTACAGGAGCGACCGAAAATCTCGTTGCCTCCAAAAAGAAAAAAATCACGATACCTATCACAATGTTAAAATATAATCTGAAAAAATTGTGATAATAAGTGGAGAAATGGAAGGAAAAAGAGAAAGGAAAATTCGAAGATATAGTTAACAATGATGTAGTTAAGACATCTTCTATGCTCCTAATTAATATGTTGACTAATTAATGTATGCATATTTCTATATTTCTCGAATATTATATTTGCCGAACAATTAATAGCAAGTCAATTGCAAAATAAAGCGTCAATTGTAGAGTATACTGCAATTTACACAATTTTTATCGAATACACTTGAGAAAGCTGTTGTCTAAAAAAGGAAAAACAGGGAGATGTCGATGTAATATATCAGAGGAGCAAAGTCTCGCTTTGTTTGCCATTTATTTTTTGAAACAAGAACACCGCGGTTTTCCAGAGAGATCGCGTGACGTCGTAATTAGCACGTGTGCTGCGGACGGTGTCTCGTTCTCTTTTGCTTTTTGTAGAGATTCGTGCACTCCGCCTGGTCCCGATGGTCCCGGCAGGATCCCTCACGGTCCTGATAATGAAAAAAAAAAAGAACCAAAACAGGAACTTAAGCGAGGAGCTCGATCCTTTTTGTAACCTGAATGCTTCTCGTAAAAAATGTAGGAAAATGAAAAAGAACGGAAACAAAGTGAGAGAAAGAAACAAAAGAGAAACATAAAAAGAAGAAAAAATTATCATCAAGCCATGGAGTCCCCAGTGTTAGGGGTGTGCAACCCTGTCCAACTTTAAAGAGCGTATTGCGGAAATGTTACCAGGAAGGCGAAGAAAGTAGTTTCCCGATTGAGCAAGACCAATTCGCGAAATGTCCCGCAAAATTGGAGCTTACGTCAACAAAAGTCCCGTCTCGCGCAATCGCGTAAATAAATAAATCTAAAATTCCGTTTATCGTTGAATCGTCGCTGCCTACCGCAGCGAGACTTTCCGGCAATGAGCTTCGCAGTTTGCCAGTGGTAGTTAAACCGTGACAAGGCGATTGGGATTCGAGAGAAAAAGCTGCGTTCGCGCGGGTAAAACAAAGAGAACTCGGAAGAAAAGACCAGGCCCTTTGAGAGACCTTCCACAAAGCGGGGAGGATGTGTTAAGAGCACAGAAAGAGAGAAAGAGAAAGAGAGAGGGTAAGCGAGATTTACCGGAGGGAGGTGAAAGGGGATGAAGTCGATGCGCGACAACAAAGGACGTTGGGCGATGCGCTTTGTGCTTCCGGAGAGAGAATAGAATCTCGCGAAGGGAGTACCGGATGACGTGGTGGATGATGCGTATTGTAGACATCCGAAGCAAGAAAGCGGCCGAAGTGCTATCTCTCTTCTTAGAGGTTCGAAGAGGTCATTGAAAAACAACACGGGGCTCACTAAAGTGCCTACAGCAAGAGAACTTATCAAGCGAGACACAATTTTACGTACCGCGTTTGTTGCGAGGTGATACCGCATTCACGATTAAATTTCGATCAACCACGACGCTGCGAACGCGTGAAAAATTTTTATTTGAAACACGACTTTCAAATGATTATTCTTTATTTTTCATCTTGCATATCTAATTTCCACAATTAGATATATTATAATTATATTAAATATTAACACTGATATTTAAAAGTCTCTATACGTTAAGCTTATCGTGTATAGGAAATTAGCATTACTCCCTTTATTGCAGCATTACAGATACGTTTTGCTCTTTCAAACTGATTGTGAGATCAGTCCGGAGCAAATTGTCGTGTGTGTCTACACCACGCATCCGTATGGCAAACTTGTTAATTGCTTATTAAAGCTCCAGAAACTGGAGCGGTGGAAAGCACCCTGCGAGAACAAGCAACAAATTTGACGTACGACAATCGCAATAGCGTTCTAAGTGTCCTCGGTGTCGGAGAGAAGCAACAGCAGCATGAGATACGGCATAGGCACCAAGATAGATCCGATTAGACGCCACGCTAAATCACATTCAACGCCGCGCCATTGTTAAGTGTCTCGTCTACTCTCATTGTCAGATTCCTCTCGGAGAGTGTTTCGCGGACTACATTGGATTATCAGGAGGATACCTCATAGACGCGATGCATCTGATACGCTCATCCAGCGACTCATCTACGGACTTTTATGTTACATTACGATCAGAAATTAATATTAAATAATAGAACCTATAATATAGGATGTAAAAAGAAATTGAAGATTTTTCTTCCTTTATGTTCCAAAGTATGGGCTCTGTTATTTACTACACAGAAAAAAAAGAAGTGTCAAAACAACACTTGTTTACTTGTATATACGTAAGAATATATAATCTTGAAATGAGATTATATTGCATTAACGGTTAAACTAAGAAAACTTGCTTGAATGAAGTCATTTATACAGTTAAACGAAGTTTTATATGGTTTAACCAAGAAAAAAAGTTGAAATAAAAAGTTGAACTTCTTGTAAGAAAATTATATATTCTTGCATATACATGCAAGAATATATATACACACAAGTATATCAGTGTTGATTTTACACTTTTTTTCTGTGTATATTTAAAATATTTATTAAAATATTTTCAAATTTCCTTCCTTCCCTGTCCGGCTGAAAGCTGAACAAAGATATATCAATCAGCCTGTATACGACGAAAAATCACGATAGTGATCAATTTTTCCGCGCGTTCCTTGCACATTAAATTCTCTCGCGTACTTATAACTCAGCAGACCGTTATTGCGTTTAATCAAGCAATCACGCGTCAGATACGGTGCATGCAATAAGGAATTAATTAATCTGCATCCATCTGCAAGCGCATTGTACGGGGAAACTCCGCAAGGGCGGGAAAGTGTCAACAGCAGTTGCGACGGTAGCACGCGGCGCGATCAAGAATCGATCGTCAGACTGCGCGTCGTGACGTTCTCTCTCTCTCTCAATCCGACAAATATTTTCGCAAGCCGCACTGCCGCGCCGGCATAAACGTCATTAAACATCTGCGTCCTCAATAACGGTGCGCGATATAGCGCGCACGTTATAACTATGTAGGTAACCAAACGACGATGCAAGAGCCCTGCAGCATGCATCGTTGTTGCCGTGCAAATCGCTTTTCCTCCCCACACATCTTTAGCTAGAACCAGTTTTAGTTACTCGCGCACATCGATTACTCGTAATGTAAATTACTTGTTTCGATCTTAATTACTTATTGTTAGTCTTAGAAAACGAGAAATAGAAAATCATGACTATATGTGACGGACATAAAAGTAAGATTCGCATTTTTTACTTTCTAAGATTCCTGGCGAAGTTAAAGAAGCTCTTCACATGTAAGTTCGGACACAAACCGATTAAATCTTATTTCAAAAACAAATAAAAAGTGCTGCATACTTTTGATGCGCACTTTCATTTGAATATAATGCATGGAAAAAAAACTGCACTCTTAACTCAATATCGAAACACACACTGAAGAACACGAGATTTTTTTACGTTAAAAACTTTGGTAAAAATGAACATATTTATCGCAAGCGTGTCGCAAAAAGGCTTACGAAAATCACAATGAGGACGGCAGAAGATTAGGGAGCCGTATTATAAGAGCGTGCAATTTGTATTCCACTGATTCTGTCGCTGCCCAGAAAATTTCGTACAACATACGGAGTCCCGGTGAACGAACGAACGAACGTGGCGTTTCTACGCGAAGCTAGCACATCAACATGCAAATTGCGAAAGGATCTCACAGAGTCAGCATGCCTTTCCGAAAGTAACGGACCAAATGTGCGGAGTGGAGCGTACGAAAGAGGAAGCGACAGAAAGGAAAGTCTTCAGGGAAGAGCGAGGCGGGTGTGTGTTAATGCAAATTGTACTTTCGCAAGCGTTTTTTCCAAGCATCGAGCGCTCACCTGGTCACTATCGTGTCCCTGCCAGCTGTCATGACTCTGTAACAGAAATAAAAAACATCCAGTCAGAGAAACGCCATTAACGATGAACTCGCAAAACAATAACGCTCAACGCTTATATACTATTATATTATACTATTACATACTATTTTACACAATATACACATATAATACATAATAATATTGTCATCGCACAACGGTTATTTTAATGTTCTTTTTAAGCGAGTATTACGCGTTTTACACGTTTATCTTAATAGAATGCTCCCGTTCGAGTTCGTTACCGTGTCGTCAACCATGTATTTTACTTTTTCACGAATGCATATAGGAAATGCACAGTGGTTCACTACTGTAACGTTACCTGTAACGTTACACTGCAACTTTTGCAAATAATAATCGCTCATATTATCGCCATTATGAAGACACATCGGCCCGGCGTAATACCATTTCGAATCTGTTGTGGTAGCGTGTGTATGAATAAACAGGTCGACAACTGGATCGTACCTTTACTTATTGTTAGTGCCTATATACTGGATTATAACTCAAAAAATTAAATAACATACGAATTTTGTTTATATTTGCGAAACGCTTCTCTTGTTTATTGAACTTTTTTAAAAATAAATATTTATTTATTTATTCAGAATTATATAATGCAATTTTCTTTTCTTGCGACGCGGGGAAGTACTAATAATTTAAAAGCCTTAAAAGTTTGTAGGAAAAATTTACATTATCGACGTAAACGTCGGGCGAAATTCACCGATTTCCGGAAGTCCTACGCGAAATGAACGCGGCGGAAGTCGCGCGAAAATAATATCCCGCGACAGGGTACAAATTCCTTGTTTATTGAATATTAAAAATAAGAAATGTTGGCATGAGCCAAACACGGTGACGTAGTCCAATTTTCCACTCCACTGGTCCACGACGAATCTCAGCAACATCAAGATTTATTTCTCGAAACTCGATGGTTCGCTCGCTCGCTCGCCAGCGCCATCATACCGATGGAAAATCGAGAGGAAAAACGGCACGCTAACGATTGCTTTCTCCAACGAGGTACGCGGCGTTTTTCCGTCAAACATGCGACATGACGGCAATGCGTTTCGCGATGTACACACGAGAACGTCAATTAAATATAAGAATCTGTTTTCGCGAGAGAAGGAAACCTTGGCAAGAGCCGGGGAGGTAGTAGCGGTTTTCGCATCGTATCCTCGATCATGAGATAACAGAAGGAAGGAAATTTCGTCTAGAATATTCTCTCTTCTTGCTCCTCGCGAGCAGAGCAGAACACCGTCATTTCCACCGTGCACCACAACGCGGGCGTTTTATTAAATCGATATGAACAATATTTCCGGCATTTTCCGCGCATAGGAGCTCGTACGTCGTTTTTATTGCGGCGAACATTCGATCGCGCCGTAAAAATCTCCATTGCTGACGCGGCACATTTTCGCAGCCGTTAAATAATAACACGAATATTTATTGAGGATGCTGATTGAAACGGAGCTATTTTCCAACACGGCTGGTCTGGGTCCTGATTTGAGTAGCGTTCAAGCGTTAACTTTTCGATTTAGCCGGCAGCAACGCGATGGTTGCATTGTGTTGCGAATGTGAATCTGGTAATTATTATGTTTAACGTTACACAGTGCCGATGGAATTTTAAAATATCTGTAAAAGCCGGGCAAAAAATATAATATCAAAAACAATCCATTCACATACGTTTCCCTTAATGCATTTACGCATACGTAGATGCATATTTACGGCTAGTTACAGTTGTACATTTCGCGAAATATAATATGCGGCACGCATCGTACAAGCGCGTATCGTAGCGTATCGTATGCAGCAACGAGTTTAATTCGGACCATTTCCATTTTTCATAAATAATATATATTATATATAATCGTAGAAATACAAGAGATATAACGCAGCATCCCCTGTGGACGTGGCGTGACGCGGAAAGAAATGTATTTCGCAACTATTGTTTCTGCTGCAGGAGAGCCTCGTGACAGACGAACAAACGGAGAGACTGAAATCGGGACGCGACGTATTTATAGAGAAGGATTTACAAATCGACTTTCCGCGTTTGTTTTCAATAGGCAATTCGCGGAACATTTCGCGGCGCAGTGCCTCCGGTGATTCCGGCGGTTCATTAAATAAGCGCAAATAATACGAGGGAGCGTATAGACGGCTATTTTATCGGATGTGGAGGTCAAGCCGGTGCCGGTCGGAAGTATAGGCGGCGGTCGGGGGATTAATGTCGGGCCGCCTTGTTAGATTTATGACAGCAATATAGGCGTCACGGAGGCAACGTTGAAAACGTGCCCCGTGTACTTCGACTAACGTTTTGTTACGACGCACGTTCGATATACACGCCGCGAGAATTTATGGAAATCGCGCGTCCTGTAAACAACCACTTTTTACATATCGAGTTTCTTCCTACGAAAACGGAAACCGGGCTCATCGTCATGGAGAGATTAATCATCTTATTGTTAGTTCGGAGTTTTATTTTCGCGTGATAGGCAGATACTCTCGTGATAAGAGAAATAGAGAAAAAAAGATCGATGCGCGTGTTGGAAAACAAAATCACGTTGGATCGATAAGAGAATATTGCTTCGCGGGGAATTTTTCGGCAACTGCTTTCTCTTTTGCTATGAAAGACGATTTGTTGAAAATATTTGGCATTATTGATGAAATATATTTCACAGCAAGAACAGATCACAAATGCCGAGGCCGAGGCCGCGGCTTCTCGGCAACACGAGTGATGGGTAGACTGTGACGAGGCACGGTGGTATGTTCGCCATGTATCAATTCGCGAAAAATCGTGCAAACAGTATTACGAATAAAAGAGACGCGACAACGCGACGTTCGCGACGTAATAAGTATTTCTTCCCTATGCCGGAGATCGAACTCCGATCAAACTCCGAAATTACGAAATAGCGCCGGAGCTCGAATCGCGCTTAAGAAAGTGACGGAGACCGCCACGAGACAGCGAAATAGCGAAGGAATAACATTTTACTCACCCCACGGTCGCCTCGCCGTCGCCCGATGCCTCCCAGGCCCCCTCCTCCCCTTCACAGGCCTCTGCCGTTATCGCATTTCCGTCCACTCATTCACGAAAATATCGTTCACGCACGAAAATATCGTCGCTAATGATCGCGCGACGCTTTGCACGGCGCTCCCGGTATTAATCTCGCGACGCGGCGCGTAGTTGGTTATACAGCGATAGAAGAATTACGACGGAGAAGCTACGAGAACGAAACTATACGATCCGCTCGACGCCCGTCGATCAGTAATGTCCCGCACTCCGCAGGTAGACGCTAAGATGGCGGAGAGAATTTCGTGAAATGCACGGCTAACTTCACTCGCCCGGAGCAACCGATGCCGACGCGAAGACGCTACACTTGCCTCTCCCACACCTGACAAGACTTTTCGCACTTTGAATGTAATGCCGAGCATGCCGAGATTACTTTTACGTGCTGCGATATAAGCGATATAATTCGTGTATCATTCTGCGTTACAATCTGAGAGCGGTAATAGGAGCGCGCGGGGCGCGGGGTAACGGCTTCTCGGCAACTTGAATGGTGGAGATGGAGTGGGGGTAGGCTGTTTACACGCATCACCGAGCGCGCGCTCGGCGCGCCGTGCCTAGTCACTTTCTCCCCGTTCGATCTCCACCACTCGTGTTA